ACAAAGAGTGTTCACACCTTATTACTCATTAATCAACTAAATAACTCACATATATGTTATGTGCATGGCTAGAACAATATTATTGAAAACATCTCTTAAGGAAATTCAGACATAATAGATAGATTAATTTTAAGAGTTCATTTCTCTTAAACAATGTATGCGAAACACTTGAGATTTTTACTACGTACTTTCCTATGAGTTTTTATCACTCTTTTGAAACGGTTTTGAAAGATCATTAGCCATTAAAGAGAAATAATTAAAATGGTACATAGATTCGGATTAAAATCCAGAACAGGGGAGGAAAATTTGAAATCTCCTTATAAATTACATACAGTCTCAAAGACTACCAAATTTTATTTTGAAATAAAACAGTAAGTTAAGAATCCATTCCAAGTGGAATCAGATCATTTGAGAGAGTAAAACTTTGATTTTAACAATAGACTCTAGACTGATCCTCTTTTAGTGCAGTTATAGAAAACATTTCATAATAAATTCGTAACCGATCATGTTACAATTTATTTCGTGCAAATATTAATTATTTGTGTCAGATTCAGTTTTTCGTTACTATTGCGTAAAATGTTGTAACAATTCGTAAAACAGTTTGTAAAAATAGAAATAAACAAGACACAAATTTGATGTGGTTCGAATACAATTGTACCCTACATCCACGAGGATCTGCAAAAACGAATATTCACTATTTTAGGTTTAACAAGCACAATATTAGGACTTAAACAATAAACTAAAGACCCTCTCTTTAACTTCACGCCGCTCTTGTACAATACTCAAAACTAGTGACTCCGATTATGCCAACCTCCTCTCCGTTTGGATGAACTCGCTTTAATGCTGAATCCCTTTAGTCAGCGGACTGATCTCCTCCCGAGATCTATTTAAACCCCTCTCTCGAAGAACCGATCTTCTTTTTGTATAGAAGAAGCAAACTTGTTATATCTTGGAACTTGATGTCTTCTCCACAAAGCCTTGAAGTGGTGGTGTTGTAGGTTTCTACATAACAAACAAGGGCCCACAATCATATCTGAATCTCTTGATCGAGCTCGAGTTGCATCAACAAAATTGCGTGATCTCTTTTGGTAAATCTCTCCGCGTCTACATTTATCAAAAAAAAATAAAAATTCTTTAAATATAAAACTTAATGAGAAGATATAATTTAAAGGTAATTAGATGTTAAATCTGTCAAATTTCATCCATCCTTTATCCATTTTTAGAGATCAATACAAAGTCTCCTGCAACGTTTATAATGTCCAAGCTAAGCTGAAAATATGATACTCAAAGAGAAGTCAAAAGAAAGCTAATGTATATATAGAGCATATGTTTTTTTACATGAGCATAGAAACTTTAAAGTAAAGCAAATTCTTTAACCGGAAATAAGAGATTATTTAGTGTGATCTTACACTTCCAAATCTAACAACAGAAAGTGCATTAGTAAAAGATCGCAAGGAATATACATGTGAACAATTTACGATTTTTCATATGATATTGTCGGCCTTTTCATTTTTTTCTTTTTCTATGTATTGTTGTCAAAAAACAAAGGTTTAAATTTAAAATACATGAAGAATAGAAATTCTCAATCACCTGATAGTTCCTCTTCTTTCCTGCACGACAACAAGAATGATGAAGATCCTTTGTAGCAACGCCTGAAACGTGGAAGTCTCCCTTTCTCGGCTCCTTCCTGTTTTCTTTTGATCGGTGAAATTCCATTCTTCATCTCCCAGCTTGTCCTTATTTTTTTTCTTTACTGTAATCAAATATCAAGTTTTGAATAAAAAATAAATGAAAAATAAATCTTAAACAACTAATACATTTCTCTTCTTCCTTGCAACACAAGAATGATGAAAATCCTTCGTAGCAAAGTTGAAATGCGGAAAGGTCTCCCTTTCCCCGTCTGTTTGCTTTTAGTGACGTTTTGATCAATCAGAATTCTACTGTTCTCCCCCAGTCTTATTTTTTGGCCGATGTACATGTTCTGTCTTTTCATAGCTTGTTTCCCAAACGTCATTAGGTTAACAAATTCCTAATTTAATTGGTATATATAACCTAATTTCTAAATTAACTTAGCCAATTAAATTAAATACATGTGAACATAATTATAAAAATACGTTGCTGATTATCAAAATCTTATTAAAAAAAAAACGAATCGCAAATTTAAAACAGGTTTGTAAAATAACCATTCGACAATATGCTTTATATCTTGTTACAATTACGCTTTTCTACAACTTGCGAGGAACATTGTTGTAAAGAACTTGTCAATTGAGATATTACAACATGATGTCGCGTCTTGTAGAATCATGAGTTAACAACACGCTAAACGCACATGTTATTAAATATATTGTTCTGGAGCTAACAACAACATTCTTAAAAGCATGTTGTTGAAAATATATTATCACAATACATAATAATGCGCGTTATTAAAATAAAGTGGTTAAAAGACACTTTTTTTTTTTTTAAAGTGTTTGTTGTTGCAAATTGTAGTTTGTTATGTTTTCTTTTTATATTTTGCCTCTAGTATTTTGCTTTTTTTTTTTTTTTTTGAGTAAATTCAACTCTATTACTAGGGGAAGTAGGGGAAGGCGGTACTCGAACCCTAGACCTTTACCCTATTGATAAATATTAGGTATCAACTCTCCTAATGAGGATTGGTCATCTTGTATTTTACTTTATGAGGTTTTTTTGCAACCTTAGCGTGGTTGTAGACTAATCACAAGAATATTGCTCATGTAGAAAAGATAGGGTTTTTTTGCAAAAACTACCCTTGTGTAATTTCTAATTGTTAAATAAGACCTCGTGTTAAAAAGATTAGCGCAGACCACTCTATAAAAGTTAGTCAAAGCTGATAAAGCCCATATGAACTGAAAGTGTGCTACACGCGCGAATTGTGCGACTAAGGTTGTAGTTTTATCGTGAAAAGAAACAATTATCCTTTAAATAATAAATTTCAAAAATTATAAATTGGCCTCAAAAGCTTTATGAGGCCTAAAACAAAATTCTCAGAATTTTCAATCCAGCCCATAATATTTTCTAAAAGGCCATCTCTCCAAAATATTCCCCCAGTCTCTCGTCTTTTCTCTGTTCGCTCGTTTCTGAGCACTCCCGTCATCACTTGGAATTGGACGGCTCCGATGACCCCATTAACGCCACCATTTAGCGACAGATCTCGTACTGTAAATTGGTCCGGCGAAGGGCGGCGTCGGATCTATTTGGGTTATTGGACTATTGTTGCCAACTTTATTGGAGCAATCAAACAGAAATCAAGGCCGCCGTCGATATAGACTGGGGAAGGGAGAAGTTTTTAGGGTGGGGGCTGATGTGGCGGTGGTGGTGCGGTGGCGGGGGCTGGATGAGGAAAAAGGCTGGTTTTGGGTGGGGCATGAGTGGAAAAAAATAGAATAGTTTCCATTTTCAATTTCTTTTAATTTTGTTACATTGAATTTAATTATATTTTTTCTTATAAAATTAAAATATTATTAAATATTCATTTAGATGGTTTAGTCATTTCATTTAAGTCAACATTAAATTTTAAAGCAAGGGTCAGTGAACTTAGTAAAACACAACATAAGGGGTTCTCGCTAATGTTTATAACACGAGGACTTTTTTAGCAATTCGAAGTAACGTAGGAGGTTATGTGCAATTAACTCAGAGAAGATATAGGTTATGTTTGTTAGCATTTTCAAATTCTTTTCACACTTTCCCCAAAATGAAAATAATTTTTCTACACTATTTTCAAAAACTTTCCCCAAAACAAATTCAAATATTTCCCTCTCTAACAAACATGATTTGACCGCTACAGTGAAAATTGTCTTCACTAAAATACAAAATCAAATCACTTTATCTTTTAAATTCTTCTTCCAAAATACCTTTTTCCCAACACCTTTCAGACATGATTTGACTTGCTACAGTACAAATTGTCTCCTCCCAAAACACAAACAAACTTTATTTAATTTTCAAATTCTTCTCCTAAAACATCTTTCCCCAAAATAAAATGGAAATGGAAGCCCAAAAGCTTACCAAACAGAGCCATATAAATTCTCTTGTTGCATCACGCAACATGTGTATTACGGAATACAAAGCATATGAACAACGGCAAAAATCATTTTACGGAATGTAAATAGCAAACCGATATTGCAACAATAGTAAAACTTGTGAACTGCAAGATGAATATAAAATAGCAGAATTATTTTTTTCACACGTATTTTATTTATGACGTTTTTGTATGTTGTTCCATTGAGACATTAAATTAATTCGCGTTTGGTTTTTATTCGACTTTCTTTTATGACATCAGTTGATCAGTATCTTTTACTGAACTGCAAGATGAACGTAAAATAGCAGAAACATATATTTTTTTTTTCAAATTCAAACTGCAAAAGGTACCAACAAACAAAACTAATTAACACTAGCATTACATGGTACAACCAATCTCTGCAGTCAGCTTTATCACTAATGGAAGTAATTCAAGAACTTCAAACTGAGAACAACATCACCAAAAATGCAAATATGATACTATACCAAAAATTCATGCTAAACATTAACAATAATACAGAAAATGAAATATCATATTTTCATCAAATTACAGCTGTTGTAATTATTCATAATTTCCTTATTTTATTTTTTCTCAACATGAAAAACAGTAGCAAAAAAACAAAACAAAAAAAAAAGATTAGTTTTTGCATGTTGGTTGTCAAGATGGCACAAAGATGTCATATTGAACAGCAATATTTCTTCAATAACTTTTTTTATCGACGACACATGAAAAAATACGGTAAACATCAGTGGCAATGAGGTGTAGAAAATTTGAAGTTACGAATTACGACTAATATATACCTATAGATTACCCGAAAAGGACGAGGCTTTTAGTTAACAAGCCATGCATGCATGTTCGAACCACATCGACTATATAGTAACATAACCAAGTAAGTACACACAAGTTAAACTAACATTTAATAATAGAAATTCAACTTCTACTAAATATCATTCACACGTACGTACGCTTGATTAAAATCATGAATCATTTTAACTAATCATGGGCTTGATAGTTGACAAATTAAAGCCATCGAGCCGAATCCCGATTCCAAATAACCCTTTAAAAGATCAATGAAGAAACTCTACAAATCAAATTAAATAAGAAAATGGATCTCAATGAATAATCTATCAGATGTGATTTCGATATCGAAAAAAACAAATTAGGTTCAACAAGGGGGTAAATCACTCGGAGGCGGAAGTAGGCACTGAGAAGGCTCCTTTCCACTTTTCACAATGAATCCCATAGCCAAACCCCACGACGTATGTTCCTCAAGATGACAGTGTACGAACCACACCCCCGGATTATCGGCAATCAGCCGTATCGCCGCCCATCCCCCCACCGGAACCCCCACCGTGTTCCTCTCTGGCGGATCCACCACATTGTACTCTACCGGATCCTTGTCATCGTCGAAATTCCCGAACCCTCTCCCCACAATGAAGAAATTGTGTCCGTGCACATGGATCGGATGATTCTCCGGGTTCAAGAAATTCGTATCTTGGAGCACGATTTCAAGTCTCGTGCCAAACGACACTTGTAGCAACTTCGTGCCGAAAACGGTGTTCATATTTTCCGTCACCGGATTCACGCCGGTGTAGTTGAAAACATACGGCGGCTTCTCCGGAAAATCGGAGGAAATTCCGTTATTCTTGAATTTGCGATAATGGGATTCGAGTATGGAGAAAGAAGGTCGCACGAAAGATTGGTTGTTCATCGAAGCGTAGAATCTCTTGCCACGGAACCCTTGACATGTCTGGTTTTGAGGACAATCTTGAAGGTTTAGTCCGATTGTAATAAAAACCCGTTTATCGATCTTTGTAGGCACTCTGCATGGGTAATCTTGTGAAGCAAGGCTTCTTAAGCTGTTGGAGAATTGTGTGGCAAATGGGGTGTCTTCCATTGCAGGTAGATTCAAAGGCAAAGTGTAGTTATGAGGTGGCATAGTTGGATAAGGCTTGTTTGTTTGATATTTCAAGAAAGCAATTGTGGTGGAGTTGTTGAATGGGAAAATTGAAGTGAGATAAGGCCTAGCTGCCATAACAAACACGCCCTCCGTTGAATGATCTTGAGGGATTATTTGATCAGCAGTTAGTAGAACATTTGTGGTTTGTCCAGGTGTAAGCATTATAGCGGTTGTCGTGAAGGGCTTTGTGTAAACGGCATCGATCTCGACCACGGTTAAACTGTGGTTAGCCACGGCGAAGAAGAGCTCGTCGTTTAACGCTGCGTTGATTATTCTTAGGAGGTAGGTTTTGCCGGGTTCAACTGTTTGGATGAATGTATCTGCACCATGCATATATATATAATTTAGGTGGATTAATTAAGAGGTCAAAGAGAATTGGTGGGGGGAAGTTGTTAACCATGGTTAAGAAAGCAACTAACCTTTGGTGGAGCAAGGGTAAAATGGACCAGGTAAACCATTGATGGTGTAGGCATCTGAAGAATTAGGTCCACCGCCAAATAGGTTCATTTCCCTTTCCACTACTTCAATGTCTCTATTCCACCATTCTCCTGCATGCATTTGGTTTATTTGCTAGATCTCAATAAACAAAATTGAGGATGAGGGGGAATAATGTTTATTTTTACTTAAATCAATTTTGTTAGAATATGTAAGGTGCTTTTTTATTTAATATTCATAGCCCTTTTAATATTACTATTAATAGTTATTTAATAAATATTATCCCCACTTTCTAAATAATAAATTACTTATACAATTAACAAATTAAAATGTATTAAAATATATATAACTTTTAAAAACAATGTTGGCTTTTTAAGATTTTTAGCACGTAGATGGTGTTTGGCCAAGTTTATAAACTGTTAAAAATATCTTATAAGATGTTTAAAATCTTCAAAAGTGTTTGGTAATATCTTTTAAAAAATATCTTAAAAATTCAAAAAAATAAGCTGTTGGCAGCAAATAAGATATTTTTTAAAAAGTACATTTACCCCATATTTTTATTTAAGATCTTATAATGAGTAAAAATAGCTTATAAGATCACTATCCAAACATTTTGAAAATTAATTTTAAAAATAAGACATAATAGCTAATCAATTCTTAAAACAACTTATCAGATGTAAGAGTTTATCAGCTGTCTAAAATAAACTTAACCAAACAGACCCCTCTCTATATATTAATATATATGTGTGTGTGTGTGTATATATATATATATATATATTATATCATATGTATGTATATATAGGTATATGTAAGTTGAAAGTGCAAAATAAAAGAAAAGGAGAAAGAAGTGAAAAGAGAAAAGAGGGGCCGGGGGTGAATGGTGATTAAGAATAATTACCAAAGATGAGAGGAATGTGAGCATGGATTGGGGGTAGTGAGAAATGGAAAGGAAAAGGAGTGGTTGGGTGAATGATAAAAGCGCCATAAACAGAAGCACGTTGCCAAGAGAAATGAGCATGCCACCAAAGAGTGCCCCTTTGATCCAAAACAGTGAATTTGTAAGTATATGTATTGCCTGCTCCTATTGGGCATTGTGTTATGTATGCGGGTCCATCTGCCCACCCTGTTCTTACCTGCCTTACTCCATGCCTGCACCCATTCTTATATAACATCATCCCATTATTCAAAATCATCATCATTTTTATTCATAAATATCTTATATAATTACATACATACATATATATATATATATATATATATATATATATATATATACATATATATATATATATATATATATATATATATATATATATATATATATATATATATAATAGTTATTTGTAAGTCAAAGGTAAGAAAAACGACTATCTGGTGTATTTCACTATGTGCATGTAGCATCTTGTAGCATTATGTTAGTACGCGTTTTAATAATTAACAATTAACATCACAAATTAATGATCTTATATCTGTTTATCCTAGATCTATTATGAACCTTTGTAATCACTCCCTGGTTTTGATGTAATTTGTCATATTTTACCGGTTGGTAATGAAATATTTATGTTAAAAAAAAATTAACATCACGAATTTCAAAAATATGCAAACAAAAAACCAATTTCTCCAACTATATTTTTTTATAATCTATATATATATATATATATATATATATATATATATATATATATATATATATATATATATATATATATATATATATATATATATATATAGACTTACTACTACAAAATATTATGCAGGTGCTTTAATTAAGCGTCTACTGGTAGAGCTAACACTACAAGAAAAATTGCATTAGTGACACTCAAATTGTGACGAATTAATGCAAAAGTTGTCACTAAATACATGTATTAAGTGATAATATCTTTTTCGCTGTAACTAATAGCTCTTTTTTTCGTCACTTAATACTCTTTTATTGCCACTATAGAGCACTAGTGACATCCTATTAGTGAGAAGCATAGTGACAATTTTTTTTGCCTAATCATGTGAAAATCGGAGTTGTCACTCGAACAATTTTTTTTGTAGTTCAATTAGGCATAGGACAAACTCCTCTCTCAATGGAGTATTTAAACATTAAATTTAATGAATATAGACAACTAATTAATTTTTATTTTCGTTGTTGATGCTACTTCTGCATCATAGGGAGTATTAAATAATTGATGTTACTTTTGAACTAACGAAATTAATTATATTTGCATCCTAAATTAGTTTCTACCATGCACTGTAGGACAAATAATTAGCATGAATATTTTGGTCGGTTCTTTACGATCAAATTTCCGTCATGATTATGAATCTGATCCAATCAACATACGAGAAAAGCCAATTGAATTCCAATTTCGTGAAATTCGATTGTCAAATGTCTGGGAGATTTTGATAATTACGAATTGGTGGGGTGTTTCTCGTAATTTAGTCTAAGTTTTTCTTTTTTCCGTATAAGAGACACTTTTATGATTGGATGCATGATGCAGTGAGAAGAAAGAAAGAGAACCATACATCAAAGTGTGAATAATATTGAGTCAAAAAAAGAGACAAGTTATAATTAAGCATATATATTAAGGAAAGGGGAAGAATATATGATGACACCGCAAATATATAAATTACACTAGTAACCATTATTATGGTATAGCTCAATCATTACCCAAATAAACAATTTACATAGCAGTATATATATATATATATATATATATATATATATAATTAATTTATTTTTGAAATTCCAAAACATATAATCATGAACTTGTGCACTAAATAATTCATCCATGGATGATCTTGAACCAAATTGGCCGGTGACATAGTTGCATGAGAAATTATAGAGATATAAAAAAATATTTGATGATCCCGAATTTTCATATAATCGATATAAAACAAACTAATAATTAGAAATTAAAAATAAAATAAATAAATAAAAAGATGACCAGTGAGTATATACTGACCAATGGATTGTAGTATTTCTGGCAACGCTATTAGTGACCGTTACTTCGACATCGTCCCCTTCATACACAGCTATGGTTGGCCCCGGAAACTTGCCATTCACCGTCAAAACTGGCTTTGTATGGCAAAGTCTTGTTACACTCTTCCACTCAACCTGCAATACATATAATCCGGTGAAATTCACGACTTTTTAGCATATTACAAACCAACCAGAAAATCATATATATGCATGGAGCTTACATTGAAATTAAAATGCTTTGTATTGGAAGATGAAGAACAAAGTATTGGAATTGCCAGTGAAAACAATGCAGCTAGCAGAAGTTGGTAAAATAAGGTGCCCTCCATTTTCATTTCATCCAAACTTTTGAACACTAAGAATTAATTAGCTAGCACTTGCATGCCATTTATTATGCATGCCCATATATATAGGTGGGGTGGGGTGGGGTTGGCTGGGGTGGGGGTGGGGTTGGGTGGGGGCCGTTTGCATCTTTCTGTCCTAAATATTTGATACATTATAAAACATTATTTCTCATCATATGGTCACACTTCCTTTTTTTGAAATTATTTTGTTTGTAGTACTGATTAGCAAGCAAATAGAAAGAGTGCCATAACGAATTTTCCATTATTATAAAAATTTAAAGATGAAGGCCTTTTCAATGGGCTATATGACGAACCCAAAAAATAAATTGAATATTAATTGACATAATAATATTATTTTGGATATTTGAGTACAAAGAGGTGTGGCTGTTTATATGAAGTTTTCTAATAGCCAATTCATAAGGCTAGCCGAAGAATCAATATTATTATTCAACTGATTAATCTTATATATAAAAGAAAAAAACGCTGAGCAACCCTAAAAAATCTTAATGGTATTTCTGTAATTATTTATTTTTAACATCTTTTCTCTACTAATTTCTAACTATAATTTATTATTTTTTTACAATTATCAAAATTAAAACTAACCAGTGAATAATCCTACCTTATTGCTACTTATGTAATTATTTATTTTTAATATTTTTTATGTACTAAATTTTTAACTATAATTTTCAACAATTGTTGATCTCCTAATTTTCATCAATATATCCGAAATCTTAAGAGATAAAGCTAGAAATTCAATATGAATAATGCTACATTATTAAATTTTACTAGTGTACTATATTTTCTTATTATGTATTAAATTGATTATTTTTTTTTTTCACTATTTAAATAATATCCCGTGCATCGCACGGGAAAAAAATGCTAGTTAATAGTAGTAATAACAATTTATCCAATTAACCTACAATGTGTCATCCTCTATAAATAAATAATATAATTATATCCCATACCACCAGCTAGCTTTTACTTGATTCGATAATTTGACCATCGGCTAACTATATACGATTAAGATATTTTGTGGTGTGTTTGAGCCAATCGAGCCATGACAACCCTACAATTAGCAATCTCATCTCATTTTTTTGTTGGTTCACATAAAAGCATCTCAAGTCCTTTTGTTCGTTCATTACAAGGAAAAAATAGCATTACCATTATCATACAAAAATATAATAATTTCAAAATTTATCACCAAATACTTATATTAAGTGCCAATTTTTTGTATCTCGTCACTAATAGTTTTTTTGTCACTGTATTGAATTAATGATATATTTATGATAACAACCCAATGACGAGTTTTCTTAAATGACGTTATAGTGTTGCGGGGGGTTCAGGAGGCCCTGTACTACCAGAAAAAAAGGGCTTTTGTGAAGGACGATTTCGTCACTAAATTGAAGAAAATCCGTCACCGATACCTTATAGTGATGCATGTGTGACAGAAAACGTCTGTGGGAAAAACTCTCATCACTACTTAAAATTGTGACGGATATATTCGCCTGTCACGACAAATATTGTCACTGCAAAAAACACTTCCTTCACATTTATCATGTCCGGGGTCGATAAAATTAGTGACAAATGTTGTCGCAAATGTTTTTTAGTCGTTAGTAATCCGTAAGATTAATAAATCACATTGTTATTTATCCGTCACAACTAATATCATAAAACCGTCACAAACTACCCGTGACTAGTTTTCGTCACAACACAGCAGTTACCAGTGTTCGTCACAAAATGTTCGTCACCAATGACCGTCACAGAATCTGTCACAAATGTCGTCACACATATCTGTCAGCAATGTCCGTCACATAATATCGATACCAATGTCACACAATATCGGTCAGCAATCTCCGTCCCACATATGCTGTCACAATATATTTGGCACACAACATCTTTCACAAATCTTTTACTAAATAAATTGTATTGCGTCATTAAATAGTAACATTTTCATCGTACAAATTATTAAAATAATAATTATGATTTTTTTGTTATTTGTATAATATTTTCCGGATCTATTAACAAATGTTCAAATTTAATCATCCACAAAATAACAACATTAAACAAAACTAAATAAATCCCAATAAGAATGCAAAAATTTTAATAAATAATCATCTGGGTATAATTCTTTATAGTTCCAACATGAGCACAAGTTCGTCACACATATCCATCACCCATGTCCGTCTCATAATATCGATCACCAATATAATGTCACACAATATCGGTCACCAATGTCCGTCACACATACATCGTCACAATATATTCGTCACACATCATCTGTCACAAATTCCTCAAATCTTTTACTAAATAAATTGTATTGCGTCATCAAATAGTCACATTTACGTCGTACAAATTATTAAAATAATAATTATGATTTTTTTTGTTATTTGTATAATATTTTCCGGATCTATTAACAAATATTCAACTTTGATCATCCACAAAATAACAACATTAACAAAACTAAATAAATCCAAATAAGAATGCAAATCTAAATAGATCATCATACGGGTATGATTCTCAATAGTTCCAACATGAGCACAAGTTCTAAAACATATAATCTTAACAAAGTAATGTGAAAAAAAAAAACTCAACAAGCCAAAATGATCATATCATAGTCTAACTATTTTATTCATTACGTATTTGTACTCCGTACATGTCTCCTCGTTCTAGACCTTCGGTTGTTTACATTTCCTTTAGCCATCCTGCAAATAATCATGAAATTAATCAGAACAAAATAGACATATATAACCAACTGCAAATAAGCATATGAAAAAAAAACATACATAACCAATTAAAATTTTAAAATATAAAATGACTCTCCGATATATAAAATACAAATAATCTAAAACTTTTGGATGTATAATTCATTGAGAATAACTATGAATAGCAACTTACCTCATCATGTGTACTAGTGGAATCAAAAAGTATTGATGGTTTGTGTTATTTTCAGAATCAAAAACTTCAAATTCTTCTTCATCCTCTTTTTCCTCTTCATCAATTCCTACATTTCTTGTTGAGGTCACCGAAGCATCTCTAACTTCACCAGGAAGTACTTATATTGGATTTGCAGTATTATCCAATAAAATACCCGACTGATCTAAATCTATTGTGATAGAAATTTCATATGGTGATGATATTATCTCTTCTTGAAAATGATCTTGAACAATTTTGGATTGTTTTCTTCTTGTGTTTCTACAGGTGGAATATTTATTCTACTCCTAACTTTTGCTTTGCATACAACTCGCCAATCACTTCTATCTTTTCATGTAGATGAAAAGGGTGTGTAATAAACTTGTGCCCACCTAACATGAAATGGTCATTTGTGTTAAGCGTTCTTTGAACATTAATATCCACAACACCAAACCATGGATGCACTCTAACCACGCGGTCAGAAGTATCATACCAATGACATTTAAACAAAACAACTTTATTTCCACTTCCAATGTATTCTACACCCATCACCTCTTCCAACAACCCGCAATATCCAACTCCATTTTCACTCTATGAATTCCCCGAAATACAAACAACATTGTTCATTGTTGATTTATGTTGTCATTTTGGGTTGTGTGGAACTTGAACCCATTGACATAGTAACCTTTGTGTGTTTTAACCCATCAACTAGGTCCTTGTGCTATGCATTTAATATTTTACTCAATTGTGCTATGGTCATTCATGACCTATGTAGCCATAACATCATAAATTAAAAATCATAATCGAAATTCCAAATGAATCAAATATTATTCTTAGCTTTCCAATTTCAAGGTACATAGAAGAAATCGGACAACATAAGTTATAAAGAACGAAGCAAACATACAACATTACCAACAATAACTTGTTAGAGTAGGTGACCAACAAGCCAACGTGTGCGTGTGGTCTTTCATATTTATTATTGTAATAAACGAACCTTTATTCGTATTAATGATAAAACACCTTGGCATTCTATATCTTTGTCCCTTTGTCACAAGCATAGATATAGTCCTTACAGTTATTACAAGTACTAGTAATTGATCGTTAGGATCGTGAGATATTTACTTAAGTATTATAACTGTTAAACGTGTTCCTAGTCGAAGGGTTACGCCACTAATGAGGATATCGGCCTTTCCCATTAAGACTAGCACTTAGTGTATGTGTACTGCATCTCATCAGTAAACGGTATTGTGATATCGGCATGCATAAGTGGGTGCTCGTAAGTTGACGAGTTCACTGAACTCCCTCACCCTAGAAATCTCTAAGTGGTTCCCAATAATCGAGTAGAGATATCTATGATATAGTTGTACACTATTAGTCCTTATGACCTAAACATCACCGTGACTTCACTAGAGGACCAGCTGTATCGTGACCTGTCCCTGAGTTCCACCGAGGACCATCCCAAGGGCCAGTGTTCGTGCAGTCCGAAATCTAGTGGGAGGTCTGTGCATTGTAGTCGGGGATTCGATCGCTAGAATAGTCTTGGATGTCCTGTGTGTTCTGAAAGTTTGTAATCATTCTAAAGTCTCTGGCCAGAGCTGACTAAGTGATGATTAGAGAATTTGATTCTCTGAGTCATGCACGTGACGATTACAACACTTGGAACGATCGCACCGTCATCGAACATATAAAGAGGTCTCGATGAACCAATGCCTCTAGTTCGATCGGGACATATGCATCGAAGGGACCGTACTGTACGTTAACTATATCTGAAGGTTCTTGCAGGCACTTCATTTGTATATAGGGAATCATGACGCGTAGTTGCTAGACGCCAATCTTGATTCGTTGGGTGATTAAGGTGAAACGAGCTTCATCTTAATCGTAACTCTAAGGGACGAGTTTTGACCACAAAGAGTTGTGGGCCCACGGCTAGCTTACACCTGAACCATCGAGGGTCACACTGCTCGTGCACATGAGATCTTTGAATAAACGGTCAGAGATAAAATAGTTTATCTTTGCATAATTGGAAGTCAATACGATTGAGTCCAACATTCGTAATTTGGAATTACGAATGAGAATAAGAAAAGGAAACGAATAGGCGAGCGTTGTAGTGAACTTTCTAAATCGGGAAGTTTCCAAATTTAGAAAGTGCACTGAACTAGGGTTTCCA